CCCCAAAACCCCAAAACCCCAGATATACAAATTTTAAGTAGAGTAGTGAAATTCAATTTAAAATATAAATTTATAATGGAAAATAATCAACCCACTCTTTAGGAGAACACAAGTTTCTTTAGAAGTACTTGGTTCTTGGTTGCCTTGTTAGTGATAGTACTGCTTGGATGTCTATGCTTGGTAACCTGCTGCATCTACTATGAAGAGTAAGATCTCCTTGATGGTTTAGATTTAACTTTAGTGAGCCAGAGGAAGGAGAGACTAAGGGAAACAAGAGAGATAGAAAGCGCAAGTCAAAAAAGAAGAAGGATGAGAAGACCAAGTAGGATGGAGACAATAACGATGAAGACCAGGATTAGAATGATGGGGAAGCAGATAATGAATCTGGACCAAATTCAAACTCAGAGGATGATGAGTCTAAACTCAATCAAAGGAAGAACAAAAACACAGCAAATCCATAGTCAAAAGATACAATAACTGAAACTTAAACTGGTGTTACCAGCAATCAGAGTAAAAGTAGCAAAAAGAAGTCAAAGGGCACTAGAGTAGCAGTAACTTTATCTACATAGACAACTGAGAGTGATTTCTTTGCTTTGCAAGATTTGATGAGACAGTAGAAGTAACTACAGCCGTAAAAGTCTTAAAATGATGGAGCTAACAAATAGCCAGCAAAGACTAAGCCAAATGAGAGCATTTCAAGTGGCAAGTAAGGCAAGTAGGGTTAAAAATAGTTGTAGTAGGTGCAAGCTTAGTAGCCTGTAGTTTAGACATCATAATTACTTAAAGTAATTGACACAAAGACTCTTAACCAATAATAGGAGTAACAGTAGTAGTTGATGTAGTTACAGCAGCAATACCTGCAGCTACAGCAGTAAATCTAGTAGTAGTCTATGCTTTACCAGCAACAGTAGAGTTAAATTCAAATTCAGTCATTGCAGTAGCAACAGTAGCCATAGTCACAGTCTAAAAAGAACAAGAAAAGTAAGAAGCAGGAGAGTCAGCCACAGGTTGAACTGCTGAAAGTAAAGAAAGAAGTTGACACTTGGAATGTCACTGATGATAAGAAAAATGCTAAAGTTAAGCAAGAGTGAATGATATCAATGTATTTCAATTTATTTCTAGACTAATGTAATAGGAGAAGTAGCTAATTCCAGAATGAACTTATTAAATATTAATTAACTTATAATTATGCTTAAACTTGCATTAAGGGGTTTTGGGGTTTTGGGGTTTTGGGGTTTTGGGG